AGAGTTGACTCGGTCAATGTGGATTGCAGCAGTTCAATTGGAATATCACCTTTCTTGGTGATTTGTTTTTTGCTAATTCTCTTATGGCAGTTTCCACCTCACTTTTTAGAATTTGGGGTTCATCTACATATAGCTATTCATTCCATCTGTCCTTCATTTTGTCATTTCTTTTGTATAATTCTTCTGTGTATTGCATCCAATGTCTTTTTATTCCTTCCTGGTCTTGAATTATATTATTTTTATTGTCATAGAGCATCCCAGTACTTGGTTTTAATTTTCCTTTGATTTCTCAGATCTTGTGAAATAGACATCTTGTTCTTCCCTTTTTGTTATTGTCTTGTATATCTCTGCATTGGTCCTTGTAGTAATTTTCTTTATCTTTACACACAAGACATTGTACTGTTGCATTCATAATTCTTTGTTTGCTCCTATTTCACTTTTGTTTTTCTTCTCTTCTTTTCTTTATTGCTTGTTGTATTTTTTTCTGTCATCTAGGGTTTTTTCTCTTTCTTTTTCTTTATTGAAAGTGTCTATCTGCATTCTTCTTTTATTATGTCCCTGACTTCAGACCATAATTCCTCTAGTTCTCAGTCTATTATGCTTAGTAGTGCAAATCTGTTTCTTATATTGTCAGTAAATTATGTTGAGATATTATTTAGATCATATTTTGTTATAATCACTGGTTTTGTTTTCTTCTTGAGTTTTACTGAGGCTACTGTCAGAACAGAACATGGAGAAACAGAATGGTTCCCAACTGGCAAAGGAGTCAGACAAGGCTGCATCCTTTCACCCTATGCAGAATACATCATAAGAAAAGCAGGCTTGGACACAGAAGAAGGAGGAATGAAAATAGGAGGAAGAAATATCAACAATCTAAGATATGCAGATGACACCATAATAATGGCAGAAAACCTCATAGACCTGGAACACCTGCTAAGAAAGATTAAGGAAGAAAGTACAAAGGCAGGCTTAATGTTGAACATAAAAGAAAATAAAAATAATGACCACCGAGGACCCTCACAAGTTTAACCTAGACAATGAAGAAATAGTAAAATAATTTCCATACCTGGGATCAAACATTGATAGAAATGGGGACTGCAGTCAGGAAATCAGAAGAAGATTAAGAATGGGGAGGGTGGCAATGAAAGAACTAAAAAAGATTCTAAAATGCAAAGATATACAACTCACCACAAAAGTTAGAATCATACAAGCCATTGTTTTCCCTATTACCATGTTTGGATGTGAGAGCTGAAAGTTGAGAAAGATGATAGGAAGAAAATCAACTCCTTTGAGATGCAATGTTGGAGAATAGTGTTGAGGATCCCATGGACAGCCAAAAGGACAAACAAATGGGCCCTAGAGCAGATCAAGCTGAAAATTTCCCTGGAAGCCAAGATGACGAAACTGAGGTTGCCATACTTTGGACACATCATGAGAAGAGAAGACTCTTTGGAAAAAACAATAATGCTAGGAAAGGTGGAGGGAATTAGGAAGAGAGGAAGGCCACATGCCAGATGGATGGACTCTATTAAGGAGGCCATGGATGTGGGGTTGCATGAATTAAGCAGAGCAGTGGAGGACAGAGGGTCTTGGAGATGTCTCATTCATAGGGCCTCCATGAGTCAAGACCGACTCAAGGGCAGTTAACAACAAAAGAATGCAGCCTTAACTACATGCTGAATTCTCCCATTGAAATAAATGACATTCAAGAAGCATCTATACTGTAGAAATAATGCAGGCGGACACAACTTTAAGTGCTTTAGTCCCATCCTATGGAATCCTGGGATTTGTAGCTTTACAAGGGCTTTAACTTTCTCTGCCAAAGAATGCTGGTCCCTCACAAAATCACAACACCAAGATCCTATCAAATGGAGCCATGGCAGTTAAAGTGGTCTCAAACAGCATTGTTTCTACAGTATAGATGCACCTGTAGAGTTTCTGAACTCTGACTGGCTCATGCCTGCAATTTTAGGGGGTGGAAACAATCCCTCCCCTAACGTTTTCTGTCTAGAAATGCAACCTTCTGGCTTATCTCCCCCAGCAGATATCGTGTACCATCCACCCTGCACCACCAGCAGAGATGTGCTTGTTCTTCATCCCATAGAAGATCAGGCTTATGGAGAGAGTGCCAGCTGCATTGAACTGAACCCAGTTTGCCTTGTTTGGATGCCCTTTTTACTTCTGGGCTCTGTCATTATCATTATTACCGCAGGTAAGTGATTCATACATCACATTGTTGTCATTTTGTGATCAATGTGCAGGGGAGATTGCATGAACTCTGGAGATGAAGCCCACTTGTCTCTAACTAGCAAGTGGTGAGGAGGTACATAGGAGCAAAACTGTTGCATTGCCAGAGGTAGCTTAGGTGATCTTCTTATTGTTGTCGTTTTTGTCTGCCTCAAAATCATTTTTGACTTATGGTGACCCTATCATAGGGTTTTCTTGGCAGGTTTCTTCAGAAGGGGTTCGCTATGGCCATCCCTTGAGGCTGAGAGAGTATGACTTGCCCAAGGTCATCCAGTGGGTTCCCATGGCTGAGCCAGGATTCAAACCCTGGTCTGCAGAGTTGAAGTCCAATGCTCAAACCACTATGCTACACTGGCCCTTGGGTGATCTAGCAGCAGTTTATACCAGATTGAGTGATATATACCAGTATTAGTATATTATTTTAGCACAGGGGTAGGTAACCTTTCCCCTTTAAGGGCCGAGGGACTTCAGCTCCCAGAATCCCAGGAGCTATTGGCCAACATGGGACTATTGGCCAACATGGCTGAGGCTTCTGGGAGCTGAAGTCCCTCAGCCCTTAAAGGGGAAAGGTTGCCTACCCCTGTTTTAGCATTTTAGCATTTTATAGTGTTGTGTTTTATCATTAATTTTTGACTGTATATGTTCTAATATATGACCCTTTGGTAAAAAGAATGGTATAAATAAACATTATTATTATTATTATTATTGTTATTGTTATTAGTAGTAGTCATTCTTTCGCAATTTAACCTACTTCACAAGGCTGTTGTGAGGATAAAAAGGGATATTCACATATACATGGTCCTGAGTTTTGTACAGAGCCAGCATGGAGTAGTGGTTTTAGTGCTGCACTTCGACTCTGAAAACCTGGATTCAATTCCCAGCTCAGCCATGAAACCCACTGGGTGACCATGGGTGATTCACACTCTTACAGCTTCGGAGGAAGGCAATAACAAACCTCTGAACAAATCTTGCTAAGAAAAACCCATGATAAAACCCATTGTTGTTTTAGGGTTGCCATAAGAAGAAAGTGACTTGAAGCTACACAGCAGCAACAACAAGAGTTTTGTACAAAATGGAGAAGGGTACAGTAAATGAGGTGAAATGAATAAATACATTCATAATATATGCAGTGCTGGTGTTGTTTTTTTTTTTTTTAAACAACATAAAATAGCATTGACATCCTCATAGGTCTACCTCACCTCCTTCAAGAATTGGCAAAAACCAATGTCAAAATATAAAATCAATGAGGGAAACATTTGAAAAGCAAGCAAAACCCGAAAAAGAGGTAGAAAGAATTATATCAGAGTAACCAATATATATGTATATTTTACACTCTATTCTTCTGTTCATAGAATTCAAAGCAGTTTCACTGCCTAAGAAATATAGAACAACAACAAAAGATATCAAAGAGCAAAAATGCACATTAAGAACATAGGCAGCAGCAGTATTAAATATAGCACACCTCTCCTGTGAAGGTTTGTCAGGCTCCCTTCCTCCCCTTCTTGCAGTTTATCTAGGAAAAGTGACATCAATTCACTTTCAAGGAGCTTAAAATTGTGTGGATAAATCTTTAAAACTACCATGGCCTTCCAGTTGTTATTATATCACAACTCCTAGAAAGGGAGCAAATGAGCCAATTTTTTCCTTCAATCTGCAAATTTCTAACATTGCAGAAAGTGAAACAATGAAAATTCTTCATCTCTGCTCTATTCTCATTCCCTGCTTCTTTTCTTTTGGTAACTGCAGTGTATTTCTAAAAGCATAACTGAAGTTTTAAGTCTGTGCAATGTTTCAAATTTGGCTGATGAATGAAAATTTCATTTGGGGGCCACAATTCTTTTTTGAGGAACAATGGGGGGAAGCAGACGGGCGGCACGGGGCCGCCCCGGGAAGCTGTGGATCGGGGCCGAGGTATCCGCACTCCTCAGCCCCGTGGTGCAGCGTCCCAGGCCCAGGAAGGAGCACTAAAATAGCGCTCCTTCCACAAGACGCCGAAGGTGCTCCGTAAAAGGCCTCCGGCACACCTTTGCCGCCTCTTCTGCTGCAGCGTGTGCAGATGCTGCAGCGGAAGTGCGTCGTCGGAGCGCCGGCCATGCGGAGGGCTGGCTGCTCCGACGACGTTTTCAGGAAGGGGTTGGGGTGCCTAGCGTGCAGCTGCCCCTCCCCTTCCTGGCCTCAAAACCAGTGCTTTGCGCCATCTGCTCAGGCCCAATATCCTCAGCAGCTAAAAAGGCCAGTGCAATTTTAGGCTGCATCAATAACGTATAGTGCCTAGGTGAAAACCATTTAGACACTTCATAGTGGGGTATGAAGCGGTATATAAATGAAGTTGTTTTAGATCTAGGTAAGTAATAGTGCCACTCTCCTCTGCTTTGGTCAGGCCTCACCTGGAACATCGTGTCCAGTTCTGGGCACCACAATTGACAAAGGATGTTAAGAAGCTGGAGCGTGTCCAGAGGAGGGCAACCAAAATGGTGAAGGGTCTTGAAACCATGCCCTATGACAGGGGTAGGCAACCTAAGGCCTGGGGGCCAGATGCGCCCCCCTGAGACCTTTGGACCGGCCCCAGGCTGGTCCTGCCACTGTTGCTGCCGCTGACGATGATGCCCCCCCCGCTGACGCCACCGCCTGCCATGATGATATTGATTATTGTTGTTATTACTTGTTCTTGGGGTTTTCTTGGCAAAATCTCCACAGGGGTTTTGCCATGGCTTTTCTGGGGCTGAGAGAGTGTGCATGCATATTTTTTAAAATTTTTAATTATTTTTTAAAAATATTTATTTATTTATTTATTTATTTATTTTTGGTGCTTCGGCCCCCAACTGTCTGAGGGACAGCAACCTGGCCCCCGGCTCAAAAAGATTGCCTACCCCTGCCCTATGAGAACCGACTTAGGAAGCTGGATATTTTTAGCCTGGAGAAGAGATGCTTAAGAAGCAATATGATAGTCCAGTTTCAGTATTTGAAGGGCTGTCATAATTGAGAATGGAGCAAGCTTGTTTTTTTTACTGTTCTAGAGAATAGGAAATGGAGCAATGAATGCAGTGGATACAGGAAAAGCGATTCCACCTCAACGTTAGGAAGAACCTCCTGACAGTAAGATCTGTTTGACAGTGGAACACACTCCCTCAAAGAGTGATGGAGTCTCCTTCTTCTGAGGTTTTTAAACAGAAGCTGGATGGCCACCTGTTGGGGATGCTTTATGAGTTCCTGAATGGCAGGATATTGGACTGGATGACCCTTGTGATCTCTTCCAACTCTATGATTCTGTGATTCTATGTTTTTGCTTTCACTCCCAGTACACTCTTGAATTTCCTTACCACTATGTTGGTGTGGTATGAGTTATAGTCCAATGACACCTGGAAAATTGCCAAATTCTGAGGTACAAGAGTGAAAGTGGATAATAGGTTGACAACTGGCAAAGAGTTCTCAAATTTCCCTAAAGCATTCAGAGACATAGCCATGTTAGTCTGTCAGTATGCAAAAGGATCTTGTAGCACCTTTGAGAATAAGGAGTTTATCACACGAGGGAAATCCTGTGCGGAAACGGGGCTTTAAATTAAACAAAACCTGCAAAAGTGGGTGTTTCTTCAGATGACGTCGCTGTTAAAAGGAGGTTAATCGGAAGATCCTGAAAGTAAAAAG